CTCTGTTCAGCCAGGCCAGTGGTGTTCCCCGCTGGCTCGTCTTTCGGCACATGGGGATGGCCTGCTCCTGCCCCTTTAAGATTTCCTTCTTGAAGGATGTCCAGCCTTTCTGGACTCCTTTGCCCTTCAGGACTGCCTCCCAAGGGACTCTGTCAACCAGTCTCTTCAACAGGCCAAAGTCTGCCCTCCGGAAGTCCAAGGTTCTGCTGACCCGCCTCCTTACTTCTCCAAGAATCAAAAACTTATCATTTTGTGATTGCTATGCCCAAGACGGCCTCCAACCATCACATCACCCACAACTCCTTCTCTGTTCGCAAACAAAAAAATTAAGGAACAGGAGTCACCCTGCTGGTTGTCACCACTGTTGCTCCTGTTTTAGTTGTACTACTGTAAGGCATGCTTTGCAAGGCTGGCAGAACTGAATCCCTAGTTCCACTGTTCTGTTCAGGAAAACTGTCCCACTCCTATGTTTAGGATGGATTAAAAGCTAGCAGAAACCTAGCAATCCCTTGTTGCCTGACACTGCCTCTGCTGGAGTTGGAAAAAACTCCTGTGTGAGAGAGGCATCAACTTTATTATTATTTTTGAACTTTAGCACAAGCCTTCTAGCAGAGAGGCTTCAGGACCTGCTCTGAGCATCCATTTACACCTACAACCCCAGATAGAAAAGACGAGCACACTGATAAGCTGGTGCAGGTGCACTGAGGCCTGACAGAAGCTACGGCTGCGCTGCAGGCTGCCTGCCATCACAGGATTTTATTTCTGCGTTATTATTGGGCAACACTAAGGTGGGTATTAAGACAGCCTGCCAAGATAAATTAAAGGTCTGCTGGCCCTTAACAAGAAACAGTATCCCCACCCTTGATTTAGAGGTTACGGGTGACACCGCACATTATGTTCACCTTGCTTTTGTCTTCTGCCTGAAGTTTAGACACACTAAAATGTAATCACGAGCAGTCATGCGTGATTTGAGACGCTTGGCTCCCGGTATCGGTAGATGCCCAGTCCTGCAGCATAAAGACCAACTAGGGATCTCTTCACGCAAGTTCTGTGAACAAAAGACCGTGCTGCCTCCTTTGGCAGCAGGGACACTCGCTGCATATTGTTAGTTTGTGCGCTGCTGAGAAAACATATTGCCACCATTCAGCTGCTCAGGAACTCCAGCCACCGCGCGGGGAATGCTATACTGAAAACCTTCACAAATTTTTGTTGGAAGGAGGCCAAATGGAGTTGTGGTTGTTACCGGGTGCAAATGCAGTCACTTTATCCCAAGGCATGCCGAGAGTTTAAGTCTTCCAAATAAATTCCTCCACAGTCCCCGTAGGGATGACCTATCATCCCAGACCAGAAAACACTTTCCCACCCCACCTCTGGACAAGGAAAAAGCAGACCACCTCTGCCACACTCTCCCTCCTTCCTTCCCTCCCTCCCTCCCCCTGCAATTTAAAAGTTATAGCTCTGTGAAATCAGGACATACACATGGGGATCATCCCATGCATAATTTCCAGCTCTGGCTTTTCTAGTTTAAAAATATGAAAGATAAAGTTACTGAACGCTTCAGGGATCAGCATGTAAAATTAAGTCCTTTTACTAACGGGTGTTTGGACCACGCAGAGCCTTGATCCCTGACAATAGGACTTCAATGATGGAAATACTGGCATTATTAATGACAGAAGTACTGCTTCTTAACGTAAACTTCGTAAGGCTGCATGGCCGAATTCCTGCAGAAATACTGGAAAGTTGTTTTCTGACCAGTTCAGTTAGGCCAGCCCCTTTTAGCAGCCTCCTCGCACTAAGCCATTCAAGGGGCTTTATTTTTTTTTTTTTTTAATAAAAAACCCCACACCAATTGTTTTAAGTCACCTACAATGGAACTCAGGTTTTTGTTTGTTTGATACAAGCAAATACAAATACTAACCTCACGAATAGTTAAAGTCAAAAGCATTTACAAGAAAGATACCCTCTGAAATTCACAGAAACAAACAGATTTGACTGAACTTTTTGCTTTCAAGTGTAACGTCTAAAAATAGGTAGTGTCAGCTATGCAAGAATTTAACGAGTAGGGGCCAGTATTGTGCATCTGAGAGATCTGTCCAATTTTTAAAGCATCAGAGTTACCAGAGGAAGTGAGTGCAGGTCCTTGAGATCCAAAAATCTCAGGATGACCACCTCCTCCTCTTTTAATTAAAGTACCACATACCTAAGGAGAGAAAAAAAGAGCTCACTGCGCTGAAACAAAGAGACTAAGCCACACTTGGAGATACAAGCTACAATTCAAGCACAGATTGAAAAGCGCATTTTGAAAGTCTAAGAGTACATGCCACACAGAAGATACCACTTAGAAGCACTTTGCTATCAATTTCTCCACAGGCTAAGATTTTTGATGCATATTTTACTGTACCTTCTGGCTGTACAAATCACAGACCTGAGAACATAAAGGCCCTTCAATTATCTTACTGCCCTCAGCCTGTTAGACTCTTACAGGTATAGATATGGTTTCACCAGTACCCATTTAAGCTTACTTTAATTCATTACCAAAGAAAGACTCAACCTCTTCTCCTTGGTAAGCCTTCCCTCGCTCTTCAGACACAAAAGAAACTTTCTGTCCCATCTAAAAACTTCAGGCAAGCAAGGCGACAACACATTTCTTTATTTTCAGCATTGGCAATCCATGAGGGAAAAAAAAAACAGTTGCATGAAACCCTTTTGAACAAGGTTATTAAGCGTTATCAAAGTAACAGTGCCTGAGGGATGGATTCCAGCCTGTTCCCAAGTATTAGCCGCCCAGCACCAAAACCCAGCGACAACACACACCTCATCTGTCAGTGCTCGAAGAGAGCTGGCGAGAAAAGGGTCTCAGAGACTGTAAAAGCGATTAAACTGGAACTGAATGGAGGTAGGTAAATCACTACCATCAAAGTGTTACAGGCACATAAAGGCACACAGGTGAAGAGGCTAATAAAAATGCTCCTCTAGAAGTGAATACAGCCAAAATAAATGGTTTTCAATAAAGGCTTAAAAAAAAAAAAGGAGACCCGGGAGAGGGGCTGCGAGCAGCTCTCCTCCTTCTGCCTCCTTCCACCTCCCAAAAAGCACCATAAATTGCAGTTATCCTCCCACCCTCCCCAAAAAACAGTATTAAAATACTTTTGCCCAGGAGACAGCGGGTTCAAGTCCCTGAAAAGTTTAGACAGGCATCAAAGTTTAACTACAGATTTTTTTCTTTTCCCCCCCTCCCCCTCTGCAGATTCCCCCTCCTTTTTCAAACGGGAAAAGTCTGCAAGAAGGAGGGGAGGACGGGCAAGGGAGAGAAGGCAGGAATGAAAGGCGGCCCCGAGCCGCTGCGAGGGGTGCACAGGCAGGCACGCAGGCTTCGGCTCCCTACCTGGAGGGTCCATTTCAATGTAAAATATCAGCTCAGTGGAATAGGGCATCATCACTTCCCTCCAGTCCGTGTCATCGCGGTCCATATCCCACACCGTATTGTACATCGCGACAGTCAAGTCCCGGCAGGTTTATAAATAAGATTGGCTTTCTCGGCTTTTAATGGAGGGGGGGGGGGGGGAAAAAAAAAAAAAAAAAAGCCGGGAAGAATCCACCCCGCTCTAAAATAACACTTCTAGCAAAAAAAAAAATTAAAAAAATCGCGAAATTAAACTTAATTAAAAAAACCCACCACTACACAAGCCACCTCAGCAGCTGCCCTGCAGAAACTAAGATAGGTAGTTATATATATATAATATATAGAGAGTGCTTCTTTTTGTTTAAAAAGACACCTTTCCATAGAAAAGCCACTTTCCTGAATTCTCTCTGAAAATCGCCATTTTCGGGGTATTTTTAAAACACCGGGCTGAAAGCAAAACAAAAACCCCAGACAAAAGCGGGGGGTGGGAAGAAGAGGATAAAAAGGGGAGATTTCGGTCTCTGGATGAATTCTTTCCGCCGGCGGAGGAGAAAGGAAGGGGCGGCGGGCAACAATAACGGCGGGCGCGGAGCCCGAGCGG